GTATTTATTTTTGAGCCACTTTTGTGAGAGAAACTCTCTCTAGCGCCTAAACGGTGAGGCATGGTGACAAACGGACGAAATTTTAGCCCAGAGCCCTCTTTCAGAAGTTTCCCCTTAGGAGACTCAAAAAAAATTATTTCTTTCCCACTTCTTGGACCAACCTCTACTTCTTTGTTACCCTCTCAGACCCACTCAGGGGTGGTTGCCAGGATTTGCACCAAGCCTTTACGTTGTCCAGAAGTAACAATAATACCCTGAAAATTTTAGACCTCAAGCTCGCGTCCTTCTTGGGAAACGGACAGACGGACGGACAGATACAGGGGCGATGGCATAAGCCCGCTTATATAGCTTTTAAGCAAAAGAGCGGGCTAAAAACGCGCATGGACTGATGTGAAATGTTTTGGATTGACCAGACAAGATAAGCTCGTGGCTGGCGCCATCCACTATAATTCCGTAGAGAATAGGGGTTGCGAAGGGGTGGGGTGGGAGGTAGGGGTGCTGTTTAACGACGGCAGAACCGTTTAGCTGTTCTCTAAGAAGCACACAATCGGCAGTCGATAGATGCCTCTAGCTGATTTCTCCAGCCCGAGGTAGGAGAGCGCCAGTCCGTCGCAGTTCTTGGTGATAACCGCGGCCATGCAGGTGCTCGGCCTCATCGGCCTCCTCAGCACCGCGTCATGCGGTCTCGCACCCACTGTAGATTTAGCGCGTCGAGACGGATCAAATTGCATCGCCAGCTACTTGTCTCAGCTTTTGACGAATTCCAGCGCGGGCATTGTCATCATGGGCGATGATACCTACATCGCCCCCATCCTCAAACAACTTCCACCCGGGACACCAACATCACTGCTATTTGATCCCGGCCTAGTGGATGACCGGCTGGAATACCAGTTCCGAACGCAGGACGATATTTTTCTGATCGCAAGAGAGGTAAGCGCCGACGTTCTGAAATTTGAATTTGAACCTCGCGTGCCGATCAGGGCCCGGGTGCTGATATGGACACATGCCCTGTCTCCCGAAGTCGATCTTACACTAGCTAGAGACAAACATCTCTGGTACTGTCCACCACAGCAGGTAGCACTGGCTGTGAGTACTTTTACCGGGGGCACTGTACTGTACCATTTCCAAGCCGATGCGCTTTGCGATTTCAATAGCAGTTTCGTCAAGGCAAAGGAGATAAACCGATGTACGTCTAATGACCAGCATTGGCAAAATAATAATACCGTACTGAGGAAAGCTTGCGTGGACTGGAAAACATCCGATAAGAACTCTTCAATCCAGATTCTGGCTTTAAGGCCCGACGATGAAACATGGAACAACTTCGAAACTTGGGTCATGCTGATAAAACGCTTAATACGGCGCCCCGTTGCCGTGCGTCAGATACTTGTAATCGATGACGAATTTGCGCGTATTTATCATAGCGCAAATTATTGTAGGCTGGCTACAGTTGTCTCTTCTGACATCACCCACGGCGATGTCGTCATGTACGGACTCATGGTTCTGGTGCCGTCTGGCCTCGGCCCTCAGCCCGGCCTTCTGAGGGCGGTGACCAACGAGTTCTCCATCGAGTTGTGGATCGCGACGGTCCTGAGCGTCCTTTGCGTGGCGGCCGCCATGGCGGTGGCCATGGCTGCGGCCGAGTCCGTCGCACAGCACCGCTGGCTCGTGTCCCTAGAGGATGCCTTCTTGGAGGCCCTAGCCCCTCTACTGTCTCAGCCTGTCGGAAGGGCCACGCACCGACCGCTGTCCACTGTCTGGCTGCTCATGTGCGTTGTGCTTGCTGCCGCCTATCAGGGTTTGCTCCTAAAGCAGTTAACCGCTCGAATGCCCGAGATAGCCAATTTGCAGCAACTGGGTGACAGTGGGTTATCGGTCATCGTGCAGGATGAGCTTTTTCAGCATGCAGATCAAGTTCTAACTGACAAGTTAATGAACCGTGCAAAATTCGAGAATATATATCGTTTTGAGTGGTTACTTCAAGAGCTGGCTACCAAGAGGAATTCGGCGATGATATTTTACTGCGATTTTTACACTGCCCCTAAAGTTTCCAGATGGTTAGCCCTTCAGCGAAAAACGGGGCCAAAACGGATACACATGTTCCGGCTACCAGGTGGGCGTGGAAGGATGAGTAGAAGTTACCCTAAGGGCTCTCCTCTCCAGGAATCTGGCAGCTTTGCCACGCAGCTAATGTCTGCATCTGGGTTACTACAGTACCACACATTGGACAGAATGCAATCTGACTGCGGCACCGCAAGCACACTTCGGCCGCTTTGTCTAAGAGAGATACAGCCTGCATTCTTGTTGTTAACTTTTGGCTATGGTATAAGCGGACTAGTATTTATCTCCGAAATTTGGCACTACAAAGTGTTTGTACTCCGAGTGTAGCCAGAAGCCTTTTGTGTATTCACTTCAGAATGTCAATGATTGTTCCCGTTCATGTTTCTCAGAACAAATAATTTATGCACTGTTCATTGATCGATTCCTGCAAAGCAATGCTTTGCAGAACTTCCTTTGTAACTACGAAGCACTTCACAATTACAAAGCAATGCTCAGCAGTTGCGAAGCAATGCCAGCAACGCTATTTATGCTGCAAAGCATCGCTTCGTAATTGAAAAGTAAATGCTTTATAGTTACAAATGAGGATCAAAATACTTCGCAGTTCTGCAAAATGATTTTCAGGAATTTGAAAGTGTTCCTATTGGTGAACCTATATCTGTTTTTCAAGATGCTCATGCTATTCAATTCAAGACAACTAATCTCTTGGTTGTAAAATAAATACGTTGGAATATTGAATCAAAAATCCACCCGTATAGAGTAATCAGCTCAAATGTCATGAGTAGTTTCTTTAAATACACAGAACAAGTATCAAGTAGTAGTAGTGGTAGTATAGTGTATATAAGATGTAGGGGTGTTCTTGATTTCAAAAAATGTGTGTTCGTTTTTAAAAGGTGACAACGATACAAATGCAGTGTCAGTGAGTGTGTTTGATTTCTTTTGCTTTGCTATACTGGCTTCTTTAAAAACGTTGTCTTTATGCTGTTTTTCCACGTGGTTTTGCCTTTTTCTACAGTGTAGAACGGCTCGACAATCCAGGGGAACTGAACCATTTATGGACTATCATCGATGACTATTCGTGCTAATTAAAAAGACCCGAGGGACTGGCAATGCAAATTTCCGTCGTTGCACGCTCATGCGATACTGTTCTAAAGGGGGAAATAAACTGTCTTTTTCAAGTTCAGAGACAAAACGCTCCTTGAACGACGGCAGCAGCCATGCTCCTACTCCAGTCGCCATCCTGCTATTACCGGAGGCCGTTCGATCCGCGAAACCGACCGCAGGAAATACTGCTCACATTTTTTACGGCCGTGACGTATTTTTACAACTCCGCGGCCGGTCCGGTACGACAGCGGATACTCCCATTGCCAACGCCTCTGCTGCTCTGATATAACCCCGCGCAAAATAAAAACAACGCCGAGAAAAAGACCCTCGCAAAAAGGAGTGCGCCCCGCATCTGAAAAGGAACGCATTCAAGCAGCAGGGTAATGGTATTTCCGGGCACAGAATGCTCAGGCAGGCGCGGCGCTGTCCAGCCCAAGATGGCCGCGGGCGATCAGCGCGCGAGAATTGAATGTGATGTGTCCTTGGCGCCACCTTATCACAAGCAAGCCCCTCCTACTCCTGCTCTAATTACTGGCCATTTGTCAGTCGACTCGCCGCATCGAACCGCACACGGCGGCGCGCCGCAGCCGAGCGGCAATCACTGCCGAGCAAAAGAAGAGTATTTTTGGCGGTGGTGCGCCTCATTTGAAAGGGTCGCGGTGCGACCGCAAAGGTATAACTCACCTGTAAAAACGCGACAAAAAGATGCGTCGACCGGCTCACCGCAGCAGCAGCCGTCCGACGTCCCAGCCATTGGGGAACAGGGGAGGGAGATGGGTGGGGAGAGAGGGGTGAGGGGAGACTGTGCCGCGACTCGTGTCGCGAGTGGAAGGGAGAACGTCTAAACACACTGACGTCGACCCCGTGCAACTACCTTGACTGATAAATACCAACAACATTAATTCTACGTGTGAGTCGTTGGAAAAACTTTTAAAGGAAAACCTCAGCAACACTGGTCCGCAGTCGGGGCGCGCACGCTGGGTGGCGTGCTTCCAGCACAGGGTCGGCGACCGCGCCTTCTCAACGAGGCACCTGCGGGCAGGTAGGCACAGAGGCAGGCCACCGCGAGCGCGGGGAGCATGGCGACGACCAGCGCTGCGGGGGACGGCCGCGCCGCGGGCGGCACGACCACCACCAGCATGGCACGCACCGCTATTTGCACACAGGTGAGTGGACTTGCGCCCCAAATACGCGCGCGCGCAACATCGCTTTGCAACCGACGACGAATCAGATTCGTTTTTTTTTTTGTTTCTTTGGGTTTGCCTCTGCAGCAGCCTTGTGACCGAGGACGCTTCGCGGCGCGAACTGCCGGTGACACGACGCCTCCCGCCGACCGTGTCACCCAGAGAGGTATTCGGCTGCTGAGCCTACATATTCATGCGGCCTTGACATGTCACGGGCTCGGAGGGGCAGGGCGGGGCGCGCCTGCACCGCGTGCACTGTTCATGTACCAGGCACGGCGGCACGGCGCCCTCCATCCAAATATACCGCTCATCTCTGTAGTCCTTCGTCTCTGCCTTAATCCGAAAGTCGTCAAAAAGCGTTCGCGATCGCGTTAGCGGCTGCGCGCCTCAAGATAGGCAACCGCATGCTCACGAGCGCGGCGGGTTGCCTATCTCGACATTCGCAGGCGCTCCTTTTCCCGCCGCGGAAAGCCCCGAAGCGAGTCGCGTCAGCGCCTGCTTTTAGTACGTCGTTCGAGCGCTCGGCCGGGCCCTTCCCACGTGTAGCCCGCATACAAAAGGCTCCCGTGGCGGAGGTCGGCCCTCTGCAAATAATGACTGATTATCCGTCGCATAATGAGCTTATTGGCGGGGACTTCCACCAACATACCTAACGTACCGTAAATGTGCGTATGGTTTAGCAGACTCCACGCTGCTACTCCACCCACAGCATGACGGATACTGTCGTGTCGTTAGTTTGATTATTATTATCTTTATTACAGAACGCAATGGCCGCGGCTCATCGGCCGCCTGTCCCTGCGGCGCTGATATAAAGGCCGCAAACGAAGAGTGACAAATGTTGATTGCAATCACCACCGCTGCGGCCAGCCGAGGCGGGCGGGCAGCAGGCAGTGAGGGCGGGCAGGCGAGCTGGCGGGCAGGCGGGCGGCCGCGCGCTCGCCGAGGTGTCGGTGGCTTCCTGCTGACCGGCCGTGGGAACACGTAAGGCACGGGGCTGGAGGCACGGCGCGGAGCGGCGCGGCGGCCTTGGGAGGCTGCAGGCGGGGATCAGGTGTGCGCGGCTGGACCGGGATATCTCACTGTAACACGCACTGCGAGTATGTCCCGTAGCTCTGACCAAGTCTCAATTATTGGACTGTCATATTTTGCTAAACCCTTAACACGTTCAGTGCGGCACGACCACAATGTGGCCACACTTTGCTGTTTTTTTATTCCGAAGGACGCAATGAACGTCGTAAAATACCAGGGCGGAAGAATGTTCACTTAAAGTACATCGCAGTAGTGCATTTTTATTTAACATTGTAGTCTAGTTTAGGTGAACAATTTCATCTAGTCAAACTTCACTCATTGTTTTGGAAAAGTCTACCTCTGAAGTCAACATTTAGTTCACAAATAGTAAAGAACTTGTATCCTTTATTTGTACGAATTTAAACAATCGTATTTTTTGCACACATTTCTGCGTTGATTTGAACATTTTTGTGCCTTCATTTGTAGAAAATCATGCACTTTGGCGTAGAAATTCGTACGAAACGAAACGTAGGTTTAACTGAGTGCGAACGTTTGCACAAAAACATACAAATACATGTAGTGTGTACACTTAAACGCCCCCCCACTAAAAAAAAAAACTTTTGTCACTTAATCTGCTTATTTTCTCTTACGCAAAGAATCTTTTCCTCTCTCCCCCCATCCCTTTTGCTGAAGTTCGTTGATTTCTGACTCGGCTATTGTAAAGAGTACTTGAGATAAACAGAAAACGATAACTTTGATGCAAGTAATTAAGTCCAAACTGTACTGTAATGTTTCCAGTTGAAATAAACACAAAGTGCGTCAAAAGTAGAAATTGTCATGTACTATGAAGAAGACAGTGCTATCAACTCGTTAAAGAACTCATAGATAACATTTTGTTAGCCCGTATGTACAGAATATTTTCACCTAAACGTGTCACATTCGTTTGAATATTGTGTCACGTTCATTTAAACGTGACTTCAGGTGAATTGACGCTCCAATGGCGCCAGGCTAGGCCGATTCACGTTTAAACGAATATGACACAAAATTCAAACGAACGTGACACGATCCACATTGAAACGATTGTAACGTCACATTCGTTGAATAACAGTGTTAACGGAAACTTCTTTCCAACTTTGTCTTTTCCGTGTACTAACGAGTTAAAGTCATTCTTCATATTTTCGAAGTGTACTTCTAAAGTATACTTTGGAATTGTGTACTTCAAAGTATACTTTAAGAAGAGATTCTTCTGTTATATTAACGTTTGAATTTTTCACTCAGACAAATCAGCAAACTAATAAATACAAAACCTTAATATCGACTTCTAAATTATTTTAGAAAATCCAGTTTTGTAAATGCGTAACAAAGTATTTTGCAGTGGATTCTCCAGCAGTACTGCCCACGTCGCAGAGGTTGCGAGCGAAACGCGCGCCCCAAGGGCAGAAAGAAAGGCAAATCAGACTGCACCCTTTAACTTGCTAATGGCTTTCCCTCGCGCGGGCGCGCGCACACACACACACCAACACACACACGGTGCAGCAGCGGAGACACTTGTGTCAAGAGCGGGGACCTCGAAGCGCACTCCCAGTACTGTAAATAAAAAATACCGTCGTCGAGGACAAAATATAATGCTTCGATTTCCTACTGTTCAGGCTAGTACCTCTAGTTTTGCTTTGATTACTAATGTGCATTCTTCGCGGATCATTTTGCACGAATTGAATATTTAGAAAGAAATATCTCTAGAGGAATTGTTGGATGAATCCGGTCAGTGGGTAGCCGACGGTCCCCCCACAGTTCAGCAGTGCGTTCCAGTGGGGCGCGAGTGCGCGTTCTATTTACTCTCGCAGCCACCCACGCGCCTCGCCCGACCCCACACGGAGAGAAAAAGCGCAGCCAAATATCTGATCCCATTCCAGGAGTGCGCGGCCGGGGCTGGCAGCGCCATGCAGCGTTACAAAATAGTAGAAATGGACAGAAAATGGAGGAAAAGAGGGGCGAGACAGAAAGTGACGGGAGAAGGG